GAATTTGAATGCTCACACGGAGACATTTATTCCAAACGGAACATAGAAGTGCAGAGTTACAGAATCCAAATCATTTTCTCAACACATAAACAAGTACAGAAATCAAAAACAAAGAAACAAAATCGAGACATAAACAAGAACAGAACAGGAACCACAAAACTCACTTTATTAACATGAAAAGAAAATTTTACAAACTACCGGAAATCACCAAGACTCTCGCGGGCCTGTCACCCTCGCGATGTCTCAACGAAATCCAAAAGTCGAGAACTCTGCTTCTACAAAAGCGGAATGGAACCCTAACCTAAAGAGCTTAGAACTATGAACAGAGAGTGGTATCTCAAAGTGTGTAAAAGTATTATCTGTCTATTTAAAAGGTGAAAGCCCTTTTTATAGGGTTCAGAAAAACAAAAGAAAACGAAAGAGGAAAAGGAAAGGGGGAAAAAGAAAAAATGGGAGATGGAGAACCTTGCTGCGACGTTTCGAGCTCTTCCACGTGGCAGCTCCGGTCAGCTCTTCTTTCTCACTGGTCAGCTCCAGTCGTCTTCTCCTCTTTATCTTCCCGGTCAGCTATCCAGGAAGCTCTTTCTCTTTGGGCAGGGTTGATCTTCTCGCTTCTCTCTCTTTGCTCTAGCTTCACGGGAGTTTCTGCCTAAGTGAAATGATAAACAAGACCCCCCACGGTGCAGATGCTGCTCTTCCTCAAAACGCAGCGTTCCACTTAGTTGGAGCCCAACCCAGCGGGCCAAATTCATTTGCATCAGCCAATTCCCAATGCCTCTGCTGACCAAGAAAACTAGTCCAGTTGACGAGGGCCCAATCTGCACTTTAAGGATATAAAAGAGATTTTCAGAAAATATTAATTGGCTTCTTATTAAAATCACTAAAAATACCTTTAAAAATCTATTTTTAACTAAAATTCTATAAAACTAAAGAATTAAAGAAAAAAACTAAAACTAACCTAATTCTAAACAATTAAAGGCAAAAATACACTAACAAGGATTTCTAGACACAGAAAAAGATGCAAATTTGGAGAGTTATCAACCACTTGTCATGAATAGAAAATGACAACACAGTTAGCAACAAAGTAGTAATAAATGTGAACACAAGTTAATTGTATTATTAAAGGTACCTTGGTAACCAATATCTAGTTAACCATGATTCCTTTTGAAATCTGTTCAGAACTTTAGGGCAGATAGAACCTTCATATGATGCCATTTTTGTCCTATTGGTAGTCCATTTCTTCATAATGTAAACCCTAATGTCTTCTAACATGGTAATAATTAGCTTAGACCTAGTATGAACTAGCACACTATTGAAGCCCTCACACATGTTGTTCACAAGAGTGTCACACTATGATGTAAGGGTGAATCTAGATCTTGACCAAAATCTTGGAGAAGTAAATGTCAGTCAATATAACTTGTCAAGTATTTAAATGTCAAATGTGAGTGTATAAAATATTTATAAGAGTGAATACATACCTAGGTGGAATGACAATTAAGTATTTAAATGCCTCTAAATTGACCTCTTCAATTTTCCTCATTTTAGACTCCCATTGTTGTGGATATATAGATGTTGTTGCCCTCCACATGAGATGTTTAATGTTTTTTCCAAGATATTTCTTTCTGAAGTTTGAATACAAATGTCTAACACAAAATCTTTGTTTTACCCTATCTAGAAGATCTTGAATAGCTAGCAAAAGACCCTGACATTTTAAAATAGCAAAGTTAGCTGAGTTATATGTGAAATATATTATAATTTAACATTTGCTTTGACTGACCTTTTGTTGGTCTAAAATAAATGTGCATGATGCACACATAGCTTCCCCACCAAGGTCCTGAATGAGAAGCTCCAAGAACCAAGTCAACGAGTCTTTGTTTTCTACCTCAACAACAACATATGCTATGGGCAAAATTTATTCTTTTCCATCTCTTCCAACTGTTGTTAGTAACTCCCGTCCATACTTGCCTTTCAAAAAGCATCTATCCAACCCAATAATGGGTCTACAACAAATGAAGTTATCTTTGCATGCCTTCAAGCATACATCAAATCTATTGAATATTAACCCGCCATTACTATTTTCAACTTTTATTTTCACTATCGAACCTGGATTTGTTCTTAGAAGCTCATGACCATAACCATAAATTCTTCTAAATTTTTCCTTGAATGACCCCTCAACATTATCTTTTGCAATGACTCTTTCCCTTAAAGCCATATTTCTAGAAATTCCTACATTCCATTTCCTAGTGACTTTGTCCCTAATGTCCATGACCTTCATATTAGGGTTTTCTCTGACAGTTTTTTCCATCCTTTCACTCAACCATTTTGAAGTCATCAACTTTATATTGAAATATCTACTATAGTTGTGATCATCAATCACTTTTCTTAGCTGCCATGAGTTGACACCACACATATAGGAGGAATAAGCATATCATTTGTGATTCCCATTTCCACCCAAACACTTTACAGAAACCCTCTTCTTTTCATTCTTAATAAATTTTAAATTTCTCCCATTACTGAGTGCATAAGTCCTAATCGTGTTTGTGAATTCCTTTTTCTCAGCGAAATAGGTTCCTACTTCCCATTTATTTTCCCCCAAACTTTTAGGCATACTAAAAGTGGGAAACCTTATCTTAATGGAATCATCATCCTCCTTACTATTTGGAGCACTAACCAACTCATGTGACATCTACTCAATGTCCGACAAGCCACGAACATCATCAATAGAATCATTATCAGTTGTCCGTGAACACTCACCTACTAGAGTGCAAGGTTCTTCTCTCACATTTCCTTTAGAAGTCCCAATGTCACACTGAAGGCTGACATCAACTAGACTTTCTTCACTGACAGGCTCACATTCAACATCCTCATCTACATACTCATCCTCATAAACATCCTCATCTACATCTTCTTCATCATCTACATTTTCATCCTCACCCTCATCTACATCCTCATCCTCTTCTACATCCTCTAGCTCAAAATCATGTACATCATGTACCTCAGCCTCCTCTACATCATGTACCTCATCCTCATCTACATCATTACTATTACCACCACCATGACCAACTACATGTTGCATCTCTTTAGCCACATCATTGTCAACCTCCTCCATTTGTGTTCCAACTTGGGCATTACCCTCACCCACCACCTTTGTGTTCGAATTTCAGTATGACCATCACCTTCACCCTCCACCATTTGTGTTCCAACTTCAGTATGACCATCACCCTCACCCTCCTTCATTTTTGTTCCTACTTCACCATCGCCATCACCATGACCCTAATAACCTTCCATCATTTCTCTTAGAACTTGACCATCACCATCACCCTAACCCTCCTCCATTTTTGTTCCAAGTTCACCATCACCATCACCCTGACCCTCCTCCACTTGTCTTGCAACATCACCTTCATCATCAACATGACCATCAACTCAATCAATCATTTCTATTATTTGTGGTTCCATGCTATTATCAACCACGTAGAGATGAACTTCATCATTTAACCTTGCAATGATCATCACTCAATAATTCTAACCTATCTGGAAACACTCACTGACCTCCTAAGAAAACACTCGCATATACAGAGGACCACTACTTTTAAACAATTCAAAAATGAAAAATCGGAACCACAATGTCTACACTATACACAATTAAACATGCAAAATCAAGATCACAACGCATTATAATAGTCAAAGAGCAACACAATAACCTATTTCAGATTACCAATCCCTAAAATGAAGATGTAGTACGACGTAAACGCAAAAACACATTATACCTCCATACATCCCAAATAAAAATCCAACCACGAAAGGAAACTAACCTTAACTCGCGTCCACTTTTGGTTCGGTTCGTCCACCTGCACCTGATTGTCTTCATCTTCTCTAAGATTGCAAATCCTCTTCTCACACTAACCAAATGAAATCCCTAATTCCCTAAAGTAAACAATTAGATTGGTGCCACGTCAAACACTCTTTATTTAAAAGTCCACGTAATCAAACAATACACATCACCATATTATTTGTGCACCACATCAGCATCTGTTAACGCTTTGTCTGAAAACTTAACGGATAGGACAAAATTGACTCATTTTTTGAAATATTTAGACCCAATTGAGATAGTTGCAAATACGAGGATCCACTTGAGATTCCCCAACAAATATGAGGACGATCTGAGGATTTAAACCATAAATTTATCTTTTTAATTTCTTTTAGGTTTCACAGTGCTCCATAACCCTACCATTTCTCTCCATCCCCATCTTTCACATGGTTTCTCTCCCTCCCCATCTCTCTACCAATGATTTTCTTCTCAATCTCTCATCTAGCCGGCAACGATGACCTCCGGCGGCTCACCAGCAATGACGCGTTAACGGAACAATGCCAACCAATTTTCATGTACCAGCGTTGAAGGAATGACTTTTGAAGTTGAGAATTTGGGATTGAGGAATTTTGTGTGTTCTTGATGCTTATTTACATATTGTTGTTGTGTTTTGGGGGTTAGGGTTTCAAATTGGTGCGACTAGCGATCTGCGACGATTTGTGTTTTTATTACCTCCGGACGATGATTTGTAAGCCTCTCTCCCCCCTAGTCGGCGACAACCACTTGCGACGATGAACCAGTGATGACATACCAACAACCATGGCAATGATACTTCTTTCTTCTGATTATATTCTATGTAAGTACCAAAGTCTCTTCCTTTCTCCTTTTATTCCTTCATGATGAGATTTAGCAAAACCTATTGTAAGCACCAGAAGAAAAAAAAAACAAAAATCTCACAGGACTTGAATTTTCCTACACCAGTTGAAATTGATTCTGAGAGGGAAAGTTGTTTCGCATTTTTCTCAATGAAAGCTTTTTCTCAGGTATACTTTGATTGGTAGAGAGTTGTTTCGCATCGGTTGTGTCATTCTATATATGTGCTATATGATATCATTCTCATTCCTTATCCTTCTACATTGTATATTTTGGTTTCTCAAACGTTTTTATAATTATATTTATCTAATTTATCTTTCTTATCAAGCAAAAACTAGTATAGTATAATTGATAACTTCCACTAATGAATCTGTAAATCATCACAATCATTACAGAGATAGAGTGTAACTTTTTCCAATATCAAAAGGTATCTCGTGACGAAGCTTAGTTTTGCTAGTGAAACTGAGTAAATTTGTTCTCTTTTTTGTAAAGTTAACACCTTTATAATATAATTTTACTTATTTTTCAGAAGCTAATTTATTTTCGTGGTTTACACTTTCATACGTAGATCAAATTATAATGGCAACCAATTTTATCTTCATTCCATCTGAAAAGCATAGTAATAATGTGGCTACAAGATTACTAATTTTGAATGGAGCACAAACATGATAGAAAATCATTGTCAAGAAGCAGGACAAGTGATCTAAATTTAGATTTATCTCCTCTAATGTGGAGATTAGATTTTGATTAGGTTTTTAAGTTTTGTTTAGGTTATATTTATACTTAAAAGTTTAAGTTAAACTTTGTGTATACTACAAATTTAGAGATAGACATGTTTTATTTTGATTTTGGAATCACTCTAAAAATACATGGAATTACCGACAGAACTTTATCAACGGAATCATTTCCATCGGTAAAGGATGCATTACCGACGGATTTTATCGACGAATGTAAAAAAGTGATTACCGACGGAACAAAATCCGTCGATAAAGCCTTCGATAATTACCGACGAACAAAATTCGTCAGTAATTCCGCCGGTAAAAAGAGCGGCAAAATTCCCGCCCATTTTTCCTCTCTCACTGCACGAAGAAGACTACATTTTCATCTCTCACAAATCGTCATTTCTTCTTTCAAGAGCATTTCTCACCTTCTCTGCAACCATTTTTCACTCTCGTGAAACCATCTTCCCATACTGCCACCGCTGCCGTTGGAGAGCGCCACCGCTGCCGTTGGAGAGCGCCACCGCTGCCGTTGGAGAGCGTCACCACTGCCATTGGAGAGCGCCACGGTTGTCGTTGGAGCGTCACCACTGCCATAGGAGAACTCCACCATTATCGTGGGAGAACCACGCGGAATGCCACCGCTACCGCTGCCGTTGGAGAGCGCCACCAGGAGAATGTCACTGCTGCCATGGATGCTCAAAAACTAATTGAGGATTTTTCCTAATTTTAGGGTTTCAAAAACAATAGGACAACCTAAGTTTAGTCTTTGATTTTGGTTTTGAATGAATTAGATTGTTGTTTTGGTTTAGGAATGAAGAAAGTTTGATAAAAAAAAAAATTAAAATTCGAGGAAACAGACGAAGGGGAAAGAGGAAGAAGATGAACCAGATCGAGATATTTACCGACAGACTTACCGACGGCTTTTTTCTTCGGTAATTACCGACGAATTTTTTTAGCAATTATCGACGGATTTGTCCTTCGATAATTACCAACGGCCATAAAAAGCCGTCGGTAAAGGTTACCGACAATGTTATTACCGACGGAGTTAGGTCCGTCAGTAATCCGTCGAAAAAATGCCATTATCGACGAATTTTTTACGTTTTCGACGAATTTTGATCGTTGGTAATAAATGTTTTTCTTGTAGTGAATTCTTTATTATGTATTTAAATTGAAAATTTTAAAATATATATTATGTTATGAAAATTTTGTTGTATTTTACGTGTTGGTTTCAAATTAAACAATAAATTTAAGTTTATTTTAATGTATAAATGTATGAAAATATAAGTCTGTTGGTTAATAACAGATTTAAATTTTACGTCTGTCAATCAATAACAGACTTAAATTTTAAGTCTGTTGTAGAACAAACTTAAAAGGTCTAAAAAAATAGACTTAAAAAGCTTGTTTTAGTAGTAAAGTTATTTATGGTCGATGTAAACGATGTCCAATTTGATAAATTGACGATCAGGCTAGATGGCTTCATTAATGTCATGGTATCTAGCAATGTTCATTTTGAAAAGATTTCTAACATGGTCGAGCAATAAGTCATTGTCATAGAGAAGAGAAATGGAATTCTCCGTCGCACCCCTACATTCTTATACACAGAGGGAAACATATGGGAGATGTTGAGTGTCATGAATATTTCAGATGAAAGCCTTATATATGGAGCAATGTTATGATTTCCTTTATGCAAATCCTACATGGACTTAAAGGTTGATGGGACTTCCACCATATAAAAGATGGAATAAGTTATGTAAGATGATCATGGGTGGTGACTGACTCTAGTTGTGTATTTAATAATCTTAGTTCTATTACTATTACAACCTTAAGTGAACTTGTATTGTAATTTGATATTGTTGGTACTTAAACATTGTGTAATGTTCTTGTAATGGTTATCACATTTTTTGAATTAAATTCTTACTATTAATATTCAATTGTTATTCTGACATTTTTTGTGTTAATTTTTTGTTGTTGTAGTTATTACTAAATGAGATCATCATCATCCAAAAGGCCACGAAAAAGTCATAAGGAAAAAGAACAAACAACTAAGACAAAAACTCCTGCATATACGAGATCATCTATTGTAAAAGTATTAGATCAACGTCGTTTCTTCAGTAACAACCATCAGATGGAACATTATGCTTCTGACTTCTACACAAGAAATATTGTGGTACCAAAAATTATGAATTTTGAATCATTTGCCACTTCAAGCTTATATTTTCAACAACACCTTGTATTTCAAGGAGTGGTAGATTTTCTGACATTGGAGTCATCGTTCTATCCGGATTTGATCAAAGTGTTCTATTCAAATCTAAAGATTTCTGCAAAAATGGATATCTTCTTAGTGAGGTGAACAAGAGAAGAATTAGATTGAAACCAGCTGATTAGTGTAATGTTGCTCATATGAAGTACGAGAGTCAGAAATTGTGTTTCGCAAAGATCCCAAATGGCTTTCCCTATGAACGTGACATGGCATTGGCTATTATGGTCAGACCAGAAATGCAAGGTCAACGAGTTAAAGTGGTTGGTTTTTTTAATATTAATGATAGACTTTTGCATTATATTATCGTGTACATGTTGACTCTACGACCTGAAAATTTTGTAAAGTTACTGCATAAGGATATCTTTATGTTATGGGTGCTTAAAAATAATATAGCTATCAATTGGTCTCATCACATCATGCAACACATGCTTAAATGCAAGGTCGGT